CTTAAAAAAACAGATATACCATACCAGTTTTTTTTTCCCCTTGTACCCCTTACATTGAGAAATAACAAACACTGAAAAATACTATCCTTGAAATTTTGTTAAATGAAAAGAAACACACACCATCTTTTTATTTAAGCATTACACTTCAAAAACAGATACACATACCATTTATTTTCACTAGCCTTATACTGATAAACATGCCATATAAAAAATGAAAAAATTATCCTTGAATTTAGATAAAATGAAGTAACACAATGGGAAAATTTATGCACACGGACATCTTTTTTTTATGCATGTTGTCTGACATGATCCACAAGTGCCTAAAAATGTACCCAAAGAAACGCATTTCAATATTAACAAAAAATGTTTACAGATTAAAATTCATCATTCATACCAGTATTATAAAATCATGCATGAAACAAATCTGCTTTCCCATACTTTTAAGTAAAACTTTTATACTGGAAAATAGACTATATTTCTATATATTAGAAACAAGAAAAACTAATTGAATGTTCTGCATTCATTCTAAATTTTACTCCATTGCCAAATTGTTAAATACTGTGATTATAAATAAACTTGCACAATCCTTGCAATTATTGAAGTCAGATTATATATATTTTATCTCACATATTTAATTTATTCTCCTATTGACTTCAGATGTCAATGTCAAAAATTCTGGAAGTTATTTTAACCAGAAACAGTGTGGGCACCGCATAGACAACTCATCTAACTTTTAACATATGATTATAAAAAAAAAAAAAATACATATCATTCCAACGAATTGAACTATATAATGTAAATTTTAGCAACATTCAGATTTTATCTTGACTTTCCAAATTATTATTTATTTTTTAATAAATTTCAATATGCGGTTGATCTTTACAATATGGTAACTGGTAGTTTGGCGACATTTTGGAGGCGATAAAGGTTACTACCTGGGACTTTGGTAATAATGTGAGCAGTACTCAGTTCCGATTACGCATTATTTTGCGTGAGGGAAATGAGAGATCATGGGATATGTCATGTGATATTAATGGACGAATTACGGTTCTTTAATCGGAAAAGGGGGGAAATCGGGAAAAAAATCTGGAAATTTTGTATTTAGCTTTATTCTGTGTTGTGTGAAACAGTGTTGTTTAATTTTTGGATCCCATGGCCCTAACTAAAGTGAATTCGAAATGGGTATTTAGGCATTGTGATAAAGAGAAGTTTGCTTTTTATTTAGCGGAGGAAGTATGGAGGAAAAAATCTTTCAATAATTTTATTGAATGAATTAGAAAAGTGTATCCGCCACGTAATCAAGATTCTGAAGAAGATTAGGTAAGTTAGTATTTTTAATTATTTGAGGATATTTATTTTTATGCATTGTTCTAAATGTAAGGTGGAAAGGAATTTGTATTATTGGGAAAATTGTTATTAGCAATGATTTAGTTTAAAGTAATTAGGATTGTAAGGTAATTTTTATTAATTTAATGTATGTGCTCATTTATTTTTAAATAGTCGGTGTACATGGTTTAGTGATATTTTAATTAAATGATAGTTATTTTGTGAATTTTATGTTTGTAGGAATTTGGTATACGTTTAAGTTGAAGTAAACGTGCATGGAAATAATTTAATATTTGATACTAAGTATTTGTAATGCTTGCGGTATGAATTCGTTGGTGACGTGTATAATGTAATAGATGATTTAGAGGTAAAAGTTTTTGGATATTTTATTTATTTTATATGTGGAAATGTTCATATTTGGTAAAGGGTAAATACTTTTTCGCGATCAAGTAATTTCATATATGTTCTTTTTACCGGGTTTAAAGATTGAGAAAATTGTCATGTATTTTCGTGAAATTTTTCTAATTTATGAGAAAAAAGCAGTGTACATGGATATAGTGAAGAGAGTGTGCGCAATGCCATTTTTGTGCAATTCTGGGATGTTTTTTTAAGTAAAAATAAGTCGGCGTGTACATGGTTTATGTGTATGTGTTATTTTGAAAAACGCGTAAGGAGTATGGTATTGTGCACTTTTTCCCAATTTTGCAGTGAATATTTGTCATGATTAAGCAGTTTTGTTTGATAAAATTTCTAGCATAAGTGTAATTCGGCTAGTAGATTGTTGGAAGAAGTGTTCAGTAGATAAAAAGAAAAGAAACATGTCTTTACTTCGTGAAGACAAAATGGCGGCGGGAAAAAAAAAATAGAGGGTTGCTGTAGGAGAGTTGGTTGCCAAATTTTCGCCAAAAAAAATCGCCAGTTACCATAATGTAAAGATCACCCAATATGTATGATTTTCATGTTACATAGTAAAATTCCACAATTAGCACAGGAAATAAATCCGCGCTTTATATTAGAAGAAATTCTTTTCCACATTCAAACATCTACATTGGCGAGTTTGGCGACAGTACAAACCCTAGACTAATTTAATTATAGCTATTATTACAGAAATTAGCAGATACTCAGGTTATTGTACACAAGAATTTCACTTTACTTGCACATTATAAACATCAGAGAAGATATAAACTCTAAATGAAGGCGTAATTAACATTATACTTACTAAGCAAAGTTCAGCTCCTGGACCAGGTTCCCATTGTCTCTCGGCAATTATTTACCCATATTTTCTTCTTTCTTCATTTTTAGGAAATTTTACCAATGTATGACCTTTCCGTGAATGATTTATTTGAACAATTAATAGCTGTACATCCGCCCATTTTACACAAAAAAAACACAAAAAATTGTTGCACCGTAACTACACAGCCGCCATTAAATCTCCCACTTGGGAGCGCGAATGCCTGATGATTCAGCCTGGTATATAGGAGCCTTACGTTGACCACCTACATTGAAAGTATCGATATTTATTTTTCCGATGCTATTGAAAAATCTCTCGTATATTTTTGTAATAAAAGCATTGATTGTGGGGATACTTAATTCATCGTAGATAGTCTAGTTTTTGATTAATCTCGTGCTTTTAGAAATGTGATGCATTCTGTGTCGAATTTGATTGGCATTTATACTGAATTTTCTCCTTACAAGCAAAAAGTCTTAGCAAGTTCAAAATTAATAGTTTTTATTTCCCGTCCTTTGTTTGCATGAAAAGTCTGTTTCAAGTAGTTTGTTATATCCTGTATTACAGTTCCAAATGAACTCTCACTTTATATCCATTGTAGACAGAAGGTAATGAAAAGAATTAAATGAAAAATTTGTGGGAAGCACTTCCGCAGAGAACCCGGTAAATGTAAACGTCGCCAACTTTGGCGATAATAGTTCAAACTTGGTAACCCATCGGATTTGGATTTATCCTATTCGCTTGTTCGAAGTTTGCAACCATTCTCTTGCGTTTATTTTGTTGAATTAACACTGTCGTTGTTCGCATATTTGCAGATTTATATTTATTCTTTCTCTTAATTTATTATTAGTTTTTCTGAATTTTTTTAACAACGAATAGATTAGAAATATTTTCGTAGATACTAGATGCCGGTTCTCGGTTCGGGATGAAAAGGAGGGGGTGAATGCTAATTTGTAACACGGCTGTTCACGTTGTATTCTTAATTATTAACAGCTCTAAGAACCATGAGGTTTCCAAAGTCTAAAATAATTTGATTTCGTAGACCGCAAAAATGTGCATGTGCATTTTAAATAATTAAGTAATGCTTTTATTTTTATTATTGGTTATTGTCATCTAAAATTATGAGAATAAATCAATTTTTATGGCGTAAAATTTTAACAACATAACATATTGTTAATGCTTTTCTAACAATAACCTTTCAGAGGATGGCAGGTGTGACATAAATAGATTATTAAATTGAAATAAAAAATATTGATTATCTAAGATGTCAGAATAGTTCGATGCATCACCATGGTCATCGAAATTAACAAACCACTGCTGGTGTAAGGAATATATTGTTTTCTGTGTTAACTGGAATTTAAGACAAATTTTTTTCGTATATCACGGTTAATCGGCGCTAATTTCAGTATATTAATACTAATTTATATTTTTTAAATAATTTTTATTTCCGTTATAAATCCTTATATATTGTCTTATGCTTATATTCTTTTTCTGTGCTAACTTGAATTTAATACACATTTATTTTCGTATATCACGTTTAACCGGTTAGTTTTACATCTACATGCTTATTATCTGTGAATTTTTACTACCATATGCTTAATATATTGTTTTGTCTCCTAATTTGAATTTACATGCACTAAAAATCACGTTTACAAAATATCACGTTTACGGATCGGCTCATCGTCGATGAACGGCGAGCTTGGCGAGTAAAAATGCAACGGCGCCAACGGGTTCTCAGCGGATGAAAACCACTAGCGTCTACATCTCAAAACGGCAGTCTATAAGAGAGGCGATTCTATTATTTTCATCGGGGAGTAGGGAAGTTAGAATGGTTTTCTGAGGAACGCCAACGGCAGTGGCACGATGTTTGCTTACATTTGGAAGTTCAAAAAATTGCTAAGGTGGATTGCCTTAGTTTCTACAGTTACTTACAGGGAAATATTAGGCAGTTTTTTCGGTTTGCTGATAGAGGGCAAATAGACAATTTACCTTTATAATCCGCGTTTATCTATTTAAACTTCAGAAGATTTAAGATGAAGCGAATATATTTAACACAACAGAACATAATCTTAAGACTTGTAAATCTTTTAAAAGACAACAGCAAATTTTTAAACATTACTGTAAAAAATATCTTCTCTTCTAATTAAAATAAATAATAAGATAATGGATGGATGAATTGTTAATTATATGATAACTATGCATTTATAAAAAGTTTTTAATAATGAACTATAAATAATATTTTTAATTATCGATGTATTCTTTTTTAAAAGATTTACAAGTCTTAAGCTTGCGTTCTGTTGTGTTAAATATATTCACTTCATCTTAAATCTTCTGAAGTTTAAATAGATAAACGCGGATTTATAAAGGTAAATTTTCTATTTGCCCTCTATCAGCAAACCAAAAAAACTGCCTAATATTTCCCTGAAAGTAACTGCAGAAACTAAGGCAAACCACCTTTGCAATTTTCTGAACTTCCTAATGTAAGCAAAAATCGTGGACTGCCGTTGGCGTTCCTCAGAAAACCATTCTAACTTCCCTACTCCCCGATGAAAATAATAGAATCGCCTCTCTCATAGGCTGCCGTTTTAGGATGTAGACGCTAGTGATGAAAACCCAATCCGTGTTTCTCGTTGCTCAGAGAGAAAGCTCAGGATAGGTAAAGATATGTTTCAAACGATATATATATAGCTTCAGTTTATTAATTAATAAAGAAATGATATTAGCTTTTCTGCAGTATCTATCAAATATTTTTGTTTTGTTAAAAATAAACCTAATCTAGTTGAAGAATTTCACATGAAAATGATGGGTTTCTTTGTAGTAAATGCAGACCTTAGATGAACATCCAAGCCTTTAAAAGTTTGAGGAGGAAAAGTGCTTTTTGTGATATAGTCAACATAATGAAATTTTGTGTATTATATATGTGTTCATGTATTTCCTAAAAGCTGCTCAAGATTTGCATGGAAAGAAATGTGTTAGATCTTACACAAGAGTAAACGCAGTCATTTTATGTAAGCAAGTCACTAGAAGATGCATGTACATAAAATTCTGAAGTACTCTTAGTTAATTATTTCACATTTTTTAAATTATTATTTTAAATAGCATAATGCATGCATTTTTTGGGAAGCTGAGAATCTGAACACTGATACAAGTTTTCACAAAATGAACTAAGCAACATTCAATATGGACTAATTTTTTTCCTGTCCATGTAGAAGTTTCTTAAGGCTCTACTTTTCATGGATGTACTTGTTTGCTTTAATTAAAATACATAAGATAATTCTGAAACATCTGTTCCAAGATGCATCTGGAAAGCCATCTTCATCAACATAAAAAACGTGCATATGTGACTTGTGCTTTGTAATTTTATAGCCATGATTTATAGGTAGATACATTACATTTCTGTCCTGAAACATAAATGCATGATATATGTTGACAATACATATAAGAAACCGTATTTGTGTAAGCAGGGTGATATCAGGAAGCATATCAAGCATACTATTACAAAAGTGCGGGACAATAAGATAAAAATTTATGTTTTTTGTGTAGTGAATTGCATAAAAAGATAAATTACTATTCACAGTGATGAGAAGCAGCATCAAAACGATACATATAGCGAATCATTTATATATAGGAAATTCATTTCGAAAGTGGTATGCATATTGGTTAGAAATGTTACATGTGTGATATTTATAATAAATTGTTATGTAATGTATATATTTATGTGCAATTGCATGTCTGTGCTATATATGTTTAAACTCTTTGCATTGAAAGGTGAATTAAAAAACATGTATGCTCATACTGATGAGAAGCCACATGAAAGTTATTCATATATTAAATTCCACTGATGAGAAACAGTATACATGTGATATATGTAAAAAATCCTTTGCACTGAAAATTAAGGTTACGTATGCTTATTCAGACTAATGAGAAATGCATATGCAACCATTTCCAATGAAAAATAATTTAAAGGCAGATATGCTTATCTATGGCAGTGATAAGCAGCATCAGTATGATATACCTAGCAAGTCATTTACAAAGGAAATACATTTAGAGAATCAAATGCTTAATCACATTGATGAGAAATTGTATGTATGCAGTATTTGTAGCAAGTCACTTGTATCAAAAGGCAATTTAAAGTTACATATATTTACTCACACTGATGAAAAACCATATGCATGCGATATTTGTAGCAAATCATTTGGACGCAAAAGCAATTTAAAAAGGCATTTTCTTATTCACACCAATGAGAAACCACACACGTGTGATATTTGCAATGAGTCATTTTCACACAAAAGCACTTTAAAGAAGCATTCAGTTACTCACCATAATGAGAAACCACAGGCATGTCATGTATGTGGCAAACTATTTGCACTGAGACGTAATTTAAAGGAACATATGCATACTCACATTGATGAAAAACCACCTGTATGTGATATATGTGGCAAACAAGTTCCATCAAAAAGTAAGTTAAAGAAACACATGCTTTGCCACTAGCGGCTCAAAACAGGGATGGCTGTGAGCGGCTCCTTACGGAAGGTCTGTTATGCGCATGCTCACGGACATTTTGGCTATTATGCGCCACTTGGCGTTGTTTCTATCAATTATCGGAAAATTCGAATGTGAGAGTGGTTCCTTTTTCACTTTATATATAAATAATATTTTTCACGCATATGATAACTGTTTTAAATGTTGAAAATGAAAGATCTGCTATTTAGACAGAGTTCATTGCGAACAATGAAAACTGAACAGTTAAATATTAAAATTCTTTCCGTGAAAACATTCACGTTCAGCTTCCGAGCCATCACTAGGCAGAAGAGACATTTTTCGAATATTATGATAGTGCTTCTGAGAACAAAATAAGAGAAATTCCTGTCATAAAAATAAATATTTTGGGTGCTAGTTTCCCTAAGAAAGGTCCTCCATGGAAGCATCCCTTCCCTTAGGCAGATAGTCCATATGAAGTTAACCTAACCTGAAAGTAATAATTTTATTATGGATTGATTTGAAGACATCTTTAACAAACTAAAAAAAAAAAAAAAAAAAAAAAAAACCTACAAATTTCAGAATTTTTTCTCTAATAACCATAATCATATTTATTTAGTTTTGGAATAATTATTTGAGTATTTTCCATTCATATATAACTTTAATGCTCATGTAGATTACAAAAAAATATTTTCCTAAATTTTAAAATGTTCTATGGGAATCAAAGCTATTACATTTAAAGAGGTTTGCTAGTTTAATTGAGAATGATGAAATGTGTGCTAGCTACCTAACAGAAGGAATACCTTCACTGAGAACTAAGGGATTAGGATTATTTGGATTATGGAAAAGTATTTTACAGATATCTGCCTTAAGGAGGAATGCCTCACGACCAACAATAGAAACTTCCACAGAAGCTCTAGGGTTATATCAGAATCTCCTTCTAAACAAACCTTCCAACTTCATGACTGAAATTCATCGTTGCATAATATAGTAAAATTAACTTTCTTACATCAGATTTCAACCGCTTTATATACCTATTATGCAGTCATTTTATTTCTATCGTTATATTATTTATGCCCCATTTTAGAGAATTTTAAAAATGCAAATTAAAAAAAAAATAATGAAATAGTGGCAATACATGTTTACTGACTTTCGTAAATGTTTCTCTTATGTAGTGTGATTAATTGAGTATGACGTACTTCTTCATTTATGCTTTCATCACCTATAAATTTAGATTTTAGAAGTATTAAATGTTTAAACATTATTTGTAATAAGATGTTCTTAAACGAGTTTTGTAGTTCTTAAACAAGTTTTGTGATTTCATAAAGTAAGAAAATTGCACAAATCAAAAATAAATTTTTATTTTACTAAAAAATCAATTATACTGCAAGAAAATTTCATTATTCTAACACTTGAAAAATAAGGAAATGTAAGAACTCAATAACAAGTTTTAATAGAATGGTATAAAGAAAAGTACATAATAAATTACAAAAAGGGAAAAAAGAAAATTATCTTGCAGTTTCAGAATACAAAAATTTTATCATAAAATGTTTTTACTTGATTTTCAGCTACAAACACCGCATACTAATAATAGTAGCAAGTAATAAATTTCTTCAGTTTCATTTTCAAATAAACTGACTTAAATCAAACATCTGAATGTTAGACACATAATTTGAAAAGATTCCTCTTTTTTTTTTTTTTTTTTTTTTTTTTGGCATATAACCATAACTTGATTTTTAATGCTGAGAACAAGCATAAAGGATCTAAATTATATATCCTAACTTGTTATACGATTACACTTAGATAAAGCAAACTTTGTAATACTAAAGACATAGTTTTTAAGGTTTGAAATAATTTTCAAAGCAAAAACTTCAAACATCCAACTTCTAACACAAATGCGAAACACTTTATATTAGCTCTACATACAATAGTAATAAATAATTACCTAGAAATTAGATGTAGAATAATTACCTAGGTTTGAAATATTTTTTCATGAATATAAATAAACAGGTATTTAATGTTCTGATGTCATTTTCAGGAACAACATGCATGAATAGATTCACATAAACTCTACATTAAATAATAGCTACATTATTTGAAAGAGTATTAATGCTATTAGTCAATATCCAAAACACTTTCTTCAAAATTAGAAAAACTCCATATATTAGAATCAAACTTGTGATTAAATTCACATCAATTATGCATTTGGACATGGCAGATACAATCTGAAAAGGGCCTAATTGATTTAAGTGAATAACCGCAGCCTTGTGTCAAATGATATAAAAACCCTTTACATTCAAATTTTGTCAGAATCATACAACATTTTTTATAATAATTCTATTTACATCAGAGTTCCATTATTACCTACATTTGAAATTACCAACAAATAAGGAGGATAACAGTTTTCTGATTTTATTCTCAGAAACATAATGTGCATGAATAGATTCATATACGCCGAATCTTGAACACACTAATTTAAAGAACCTTAATGCCATTAACTAATTTCCAAAAAATTTTCTTCAATACAGCAAAAAATCATGAAACACTCAGATCAAAGCAGAATCAAATTTGTGATTGAATTCACATAAATCATGCATTTGAACATGGCACATACAATTTGAAAAGAAACGACATTGTTTCGACTGCTATAAAGGCCCTTATATCCAGATTTTACCCGAATCATGAAACATTTTTCAAAAGTTATTATTACTTGTATTAGAAATATATCTTCATGAATATAAATAAGCAAGCAATCATTTTTTTTTTTTTTTTTTTTTTTTTTACTTCACTCTTAGAAACATCATGTAAATAAATAAATTTTTATTAACAAACATTTTAAACTATAAATATACTACTTTGAGGGATTTTTAATTCTATAAAGTTATAACAAAAACACTCTTTTTCAGTAGCGAAAAGCATTTTAAACACCACGATTTTACAATAATTATATATATGATTAAGTTGACATTAACTAATTATTTTAAATTAGACATAAACTTTTGAAAAGGGCCTTATGACTTAAGTAAATAACTGCAGTATGTATTTTTATAGATAAAAGGACTTACAAAGGAGATTTTCATTTAAAATACGGTACAATTCCGTTATAGGGACCGCAAAAAAATCGCCAAAACTATTGTTGATGCCAAAATAATTATGGTAACCTTAACTCAAGAAAAGCATATAATAATAAAAATAACTATCTAAGAGTATTATTTTAATTTAGATGAAAGTTTACTTTCATATAATACACTTTATTATTATAATTTAATATAAACAAACGGCTAATTGTAACTGTAAGAAAGCATTATTGTAACTAACTATCTAAGATTATTAATTTAAGTTGATGGAAGGTTAACTTCATATATTACACTTTTTTGTTAATTTAATTTATTAAAAAAAAGGGTTAAAAATAAGTGAAATTAAATGGGAGGCATAAAATTTTTAAGATCCTGCAACATCGCAGAAAAAATTTCAGTTTTTTTTTTTTTTTTTTTGTGTGTGTGTGTGCAAATGTCTATACATAAACTCGGACAAATAAGAATTGAAATGTGCCCCGATGGTGTTTATTACGCCATTTAGCACTGCCCCACAGTCGCTGTATTGTTTGCGTATGGTCCCCGTTTCGGGGTCCACAAAATTCTAGTTGTGGTTGACAGTAAAATGTTCAATGCCGGCATATCGCAGTTCATCCAACTTATATGATTTCTAGCAGTCAGTATAAATAATGCTTCCTTCTGTGACATTTTCCTTTATGATGTTCGAACATCAGTGGCCGAGCGATAAAGTCGCTAACACTGAACACTGGTAGTTCGGTCTGAGGTTTGAATCCCGCAAACGGGCTGGCTGTATGGACAATTTAATGGTTTTCTCTATGTGTAACGTGTATACAAGCCAGTTTCCCTTAGAAAGTCCTCCATGTAGGCCTCTCTTCCCTTAGGGAGATAGCCCTCGAGGCTTTGCTCTAATCACATAAACCAAACCAAACCTTTATGATGTTCCATAAGGTTTTCACCGATCGATCTGGAATAGCGACTAAAACATTCTTTTGATTCTCTGCACAATCCACCGAAAACCCATTGTGGCAGAAGAAGACGTCCAATGTTATTCTTGCTTCTACTGAAAAGGCTTTTTGTCTGCTTCATAATTTTTTCCACATCCGCCGAATTTCAACTTAGGCTGAGAAATTAAAGCTATGGCACACACCTCACGCATATCTTCCAGTCTACAGTTGTATTGTGGTTCATCTTCAGTTGGAGTTCACAAAATTCAATAGATGTCATCTCTTGATACCAAAAATAGGTGAGCCTGCCTATCAGTTATAAGGAAGGGGATTTTTGTTCCTTCGATCCAATATCTGACTTCTTAATCCTTTCTTCAGAATACAGGTTCATTCCTGCACCTCCATTTCGCTATTGAGTTACCGCTAAAGCATAATTTCATCTCGTGGTTTTTCGATCATAATATTCTATAATGAATGATGTCTTTTCTTTGGAAAAATATCTATTGCAGACATTTTGTCATTGGGCAATTCCCAAATTGTTAGATCCATATCATTATCAAAAAAGAATAAAAAAATAAACCAGTATTTCCAATGGCGACTTACAAATATTCCCCCCTTCCCCCCCCCCCAACGGCGGGCCTTCAGCTTGGCCACAACTAAGGCCAGGTGGTGGTCACTTTATTATGGAGGCACCTAATAAACCAATAGGGTGTGCGGAAAAATCTATGAAGGAACCAGCAGTTATAACCATGCCTTCTCCGGAATTCGAGCCTTGTAGTATCGCAGTCAGCTTCCCTAATCAATATATCGTGTGGGCGGTGACTTACAAATATAGAACTATTTAAATTTACGTGGTGTGAAATCGCCGCTTTCGCTAGATTTTGCGCATATATTTTTGCTGCAATTTGCTACGGCCCCTATAATGGAATTATACCACAAAATAGTACTTTTATTTGAATTGTGATGTTTTATACGATAAATAACACCAAGATTGAAAAATTCTTAAGCATACAAGTCTTGCACAATGAAAATATTTAAATTACCTTTGCAAACCTAACTTAACATACTATGTCACTTTATGTTTCTCTTTATATAAGTAATGTACAATGTACAATTTTCATTATTTATAATATAATAAATTATGTTGATTTAGGGCCACTTTAACCCTGCAAGAAGTATAAATGTATACTTAAAACAAACAGTTTAAGAAATTGTGATTTTAAACATAGCATTAAGAAAATATCATCCAAATATAAAAAAAAGTTGCTTTTTACTGATTCTTGAATTTTTTCAGTTTCGTTTCCTCATTTCTTTCAAGTGAATTTGAAGGAATGTTTTGTACATAATTGTTCAAACATATATTTAGAAATCCTGACGACACTCATGTTTATTATCTTGTACAGCAAATTACATTCACAGCATCTTTTACTAATACGTACATACTATATTACAAAAATAACTGAGATGAGCCTCAGTTATTTTTGTAAGAAGCTGATGGTGTAGATGAAATGCTTTTCGTACTTTTCAGATATAATAGTCTGGAAAAGTAAATATGCAACTGATATCAATGCCACCATATTTTCTGCTGGGTCTTTGAAACCTCCCAAATTTTACAGTATCAATATATACATAATTTGTTTCCACTAATGTTCCATTTTTTCCACCAAGATGCAGAAATCTATGCAAGCACTTTAGTTAGTTTCAATATTACTTGCACAATAAACAGCAATTGTATGTGAAAACTTCTGCAACAGTGTCTGAAACTGCAACCAATTTCACTGACCATTGGAAATAATTTCATTGATTAATACTTTTATGAACTTCTTTTACATCTGAAACTTCTGTAATAAACTGTTTTAGAGAGATGTATCGATAGGAATTAGAATGAAGCTGAAGAATAGACTTCAATTAAATTTTTTTTCTTTTATATTCCAGGATTTGCTGTACTGAAATATAGTAACTGCCTTCAGACATCTGATGAAAATCTGTACTCAAATTTGTGAGTTTGAAATTTACACGTTAAAATTAATTTTGACCTAATTACTAAAAGTTCTTGAATTCTATCGATGATAGCATATATAGTGTGAAAAAGAGCAAAAAATATTTCCTTGCGTAAACATTTGAAATGACTTTTTTTATTATCGTTGTTATTAATCTCACTGACAACACCTACTCTAATTCAAATGAAACGCGAAACGCTGGCGAGAAATTACAATAGGTTTACCATCATTTGTTGGCGATAAAAAGAAACGGCGCATGCGCAGTTCGTTCAAAAGATTTTCTCATAGGGAGCCGTTCACAGCCATCCCGGTTTTGAGCCGCTAGTTGCTTTGCCATAGTGAGGAGAAACAATATCAGTGTGAAATAATCACATGTAGCAAGTCATTTACACAGAGGAAACATTTAAATCTTCACATGAGAACCCATACCAGTGAGAAATCGTATGTATGTGATACTTGTAACAAGACATTTGCATTTAAAAGTACATATGGTTACTCACACTAATGAGAAACCATATGCATGTGATATCTGTAGCAAATCATTTTCACAAAAAAGCACTTTAAGATATCATAGGCTTATCCATACTAATGAAAAACCACATGCATGTGATGAGTGTGGCAAACCATTTGCACTGAAATGTGGCTTAAAGATGCATATGCTTACCCACATTCAAGAGAGAGAGCATGCATGTGACATGTGTGGCAAATCATTTGCGTCAAAGCGCAGTTTAATGATCCATATGTGTATTCACACAGATGAGAAACCACATACATGTGATATTTGTAGCAGATCATTTACACGAAAAACCTCTTTAAAGTACCATATGTTTACCCACTCTAATGAGAAACCACATGTCTGTGATAAGTGTGGCAAATCATTTGCATTGAAAGGTAGTTTAAATATGCATATGGTTACCCACACTCGTGAGAAACTGCATGTGTGTGAAAAACTGCATAAGTGTGACATTTGTAACAAATCATTTGAAGCCAAAATCAATTTAAGGATACATATGCTTACTCAACATTAATCTTACTTAAATGATGAGAAATGGGACATGATATTTGTGACAAATCCTTTATTTGCATCGAAAATTCATATTGATGAGAAATTATTTGCATTTAATATTTGTAGCAAATAGTTTGTGTAGAAAAGTTCTTTAACATCTTTGCTCAAGACATGGATAAAATGTTCTCCTGCACTTGTGATCATGAGTGTTGTAGGCACAAGACCTTTTTGCAGTTAAGCCTAACATTAAAAAATAATTCATACAAGTTCTGTTTTTCTATCAAAATATTTGGATTCTTCGATATGCTATTTAAATGTTATTTTTTTAAATATAAACAGAAAAACCTAAAATGATTAACATAAAAAGTTCAGAATAAATTAATATATAATAATGGTTATATTTACATGTTTAACTATGAATGTATGTTATATTTTATTGCCATATTTATAATTGTAAGCCATTTGCACTGCGAGAAACTTTTCTAATTTATGAATGTGCATCGTCACCATATGTTTACATTCCTTAGAATAAAATAATAAACAACATTCATAACACTCAAGAGATTCCATTTAGTAAGGTTTTGCAACTTTCAGACATCATTTATGTGCATTTCAAATGTAAAATAAAACTTTGTGATACTTCACCCACATATCAAATTTGATGTAGCAGGCCTGAAGGAAGTAACTGAAGCTTATGATGTGTGAAACATTGGGAGCAAAGACGTTAAAGATTTGGTTATTTATTCAATACAATGCAAAATAACATGCATATAGCAAATCATACTCATATGTACAGTTGAAGCCTGACTATCTGGCATTCAACTAACTGGAAAGTTCAAATAACAAAAATATTTTAGGGGGGGGAAACGTTTAAAATTAAGTAATTGAGGATTTGTTCCTCAGTCCTATGTAAACCTGATTAATTCTTGATAAGTTGGTTTAACTTTTGTAAAAAAGAACATAAGTAATGTTATACTTGGGAACCTACCTTCTATAGTATAGCATACAGTGGAGTATTTTTAAAAGTTACACTATCCTAATATGAATGTAAAGACACAGTATGCAACTTCTTTTAAGAAGAGACAAACAATGGTGATGCTGCATGAAAAATTATTAAAAAAAAATTCTGAAAAGTTTCAAATTTTAATGGTCTCCTAAAAGGGTTTGTTAAATTTTTTTATGCTCTTGTTGAGCCTGCAGTGTACCAATCTGTTCTTGCCCTCACTCCAGCCAACCCATTTTTTCTTATTTTAAAAAAAAAGGCATATCTTTTTTTAAAAAATATTTTGTGATTTTGCTGCTGATTCTTTAGAGGCCGCTACACATATTTTTATATTTGCTAGATTATTCCTTTAAAAACTAGCTGCTTGCATGCCACTTAAAAAAATAATTACCATTAAAAAAATAAAAAGATTTCAATAAGTGGAGCTAGTGTAATTTCATAAAAACATTGAATATTTATAATTAGACATCTCATCATTTTAATACGCATTTATTTAAATCAGTTGCATTAAAAAGTAGGAAAAAAATATTCTTAAGAACTGTGTTTATTGCTTTTAAAATGCCTAGTTTATTTCTGAAGGATATTCCAGATTAAATTTAAAAGTACCTTAGGCTTTACTGAATGGCAGCACGCTGGTGCGTGGAAGATAAGAGTATTTTGTTTCCAACCACAGCAACACATTGCTTCTTCCTTAATTAAAATTACATTTTTCCAAATGGCAAGTCTATCCCGCTTTAAAATGTTTTACTTTGAACAGTTACCACTGCTTGTTTTTCAAGTCGTTGAGTTTGTTAATTAAAAATTCATTAAAGTTTTACAAAATATGAAAAAATAATAAAGCGAGTTGAAAATTCGGCCTTCTAGTGTACATGTTCGGGTGGAGGACTATGTTATTCTAAATTTGATGGCTTTAGGCATTAACCCTTTTTCACAGTGCAAGGAACATACATGTAGATTCTTCATGATTTAATTTCATTAAAAATAATACTGGATGATAACATCTGGTGACAGCAGTTTGAAAAGTGATATGCCATTTATTGTTAACCAATGCAAAATCTCATTCAGAGATTAACAGCCTCTTTTGAGCTAATGAGTAATTTAAGGTTTTATGTGCTGTATCCGAATTTGTATTTTTTATTATCTAACTGAATAAAAAAATCATCTGTTCCTTTAAACTTCTGCTAGAATGATTGGTGTTAAGTTTGGCAGCATCACCACCAGCTTTCATGTTTAAGGCCTACGAAATCTGTTGGATTTTATGTCTAAAAGGCAGTTTTTTTTTTTTTTTTTTTTTTCAAAATCTCTTATAATTTTAAATGTAGCTTTAGTAACAAAAAATTTTCTTAGATGCCATTAGAAACAATAAAACACTTGTAATTCATAATTCTTGGAATCATATTTATTGATTTCTCATGTAAATATTTTATATATATCATAGTATATATAAAATAATCTGCAAATTTTGTATAAGATGAATTAAAAAGAGAAAATAAAAAGCACAACTGCTGCTTTCCCCACCACAAATATAAAGTTGACATACTAATCAGCTTTGGTTTGTGTAGTCTATCTGACAGTATTTAGCTATCAGTCTGTTAGGGTTGTAGGGAAAAAAAAGAGTACGAGAGGGGTGAGAAACCGAAAATAAATCGTCATTGTTTTGTAGTGGAAAAACTAAGGTATGTTCAGAAATGTTCCAGGCTGGGAGAGAACCGTTTTCTTATGATAGTCATTTTTATGAAAATAGTTTTTGATTTATTTGATTATGCAAAGCAGTCGATGGCTATCTGCCTAGGCGAAGAGATGCCTTTGCAGAGGACTTTCTAAAGGAAAATGGCTCACATTACACATGGGAAAAATCATGATAACGGCCATGCAACCAGCCCGTTTGTGTGATTCGAACCTCAGATTGAACTACTAGTGTTCAGGGACTTTACCGTTTGGGCACTAGTGGGTCTGTATGATAGTCATAATTTCAGACTAGCAGGTACTTCTTGACAATGATTGCCAGAATGTAACCGAGCTGCTGGCCAGTCCAATAATAAAAAAAAAAGAGGGGTGTCATTGTCAGATCATCAGTATAGGCTTTCCTTGCACCTAATGGAGTACAGTAAGCTTAAGCTGTGGCTAAGTGAAACATTGATTGTCGCATAATTGAATAAGAATTCTTCTGATCATTGGTATGAAAGCAATATTAAAACAAACCATTGTAGATGCAATTTAAATTCACGGTTTGTGATAAGAATATTACTGAATTTTTACATAATTAATGTACATAAATTTTTTCATTTGATTTTAACTAAAAGCGACTTATTTGCAGAGGAAACAATTGTTACCCTGAATATGAGAACAACAGAATTAGAGCTAGTAAAAATTAAGATGTTTATTTGAAAATTATATGAAATTTTTAAACTGTAATTAAATGGATTCTATAGCCACATCATTTGGATTTAAACTTTTAATATGTATCGATTCCTCTTGTGGCGACCAGTATTTCCAAGAATAGAAACAAGTTCTTGTACTGAGCATCACCCCCTCTAACATGACCACTTCCAGTGCAAACCAAAATTAATAGAAATGTGGGAGGTCATCTTAGAGAGGATTTGCTATATTTTACAAGAATTAATTTTAAGCATTTAATATACAATGAATAATCTTGTGGTGACCAACTCCCTAAGACAACCACTTCCAAAAATCACCAAAAGTATAATCAAACTCTTGCACTGAACATCGTCTCTCTAAGACTATCACTTCCAGCAAAGACCAAAATCAACTGGAAGCATGGATTTGCATCATAGAAAGGATTCAGTGTATTGAAAAGCTGAAGTAAACTTATAAGTGGTCGAGCAGTTAAGTTGGTAAAGACTGGTAATTCGACTTGGGTTCGATTCCTAGCGAACCCAAGTTCCTGGCTGCATGGGCATTTCCATGGCTGTCCCCATGTATAACATGGATACGAGACAGTTTCCCGTAGGAAGCCTTCCACAAAGACATCCCTTCTCGTATGCGTTGTCATAATTGAATAAACCAAATCAAGCTAAGGAAACTTCCTAATTTTGCTCTTTGAGCCATGCACCAAATCATATGTAAGACCTAAAAGGTTTCAGAAAGAAAAATTTAATAATTTATTCTGATTATTCAAAATTTCAATTTTAAATATATCCATAGTTTCTAAAATTTTTTGTATTAATAATCATGTAATAGCAAGTAAGACTGGTACCCCGAAGGTATGGCGTAAATGTTACCCAGCGGTCGGCAATCTTTAGAACTTCATGGAGCTCTAAATGTATATTTTTTTATTTGGCAGACCACTAACATGAATTTAGAAAAAAAAAAAAAAAAAAGGTAAATACATATTATATAATAATAATCAGAAACTGTTTATTTTATTAATGTGAAGTGCAGGCATTAAAGGTAACAAAGTTATAGAGCAATTAATTTTAAAAAAATGAAAAATTTAGATTTATTTAAATGTTACACATTTTTAATGTGATATTTGTTCCTGTTTGTTTGAAATCAGCTTGCGCATTTTTGGCTCTAGTGATAATATCACTGCAAGAAGAGCCACGTTCATTTCAAGCCGAGACCTGTACCGAGTTTTAATTGCTATTACAAATGAAAACGTCTTTTTGCACAAATGTATTGTCGAAAATTGAATTAAAATTTTCATTCCTTTTCCACTCAGTGACGAGTATTAATTTTTTATAAAGATACAAAAATAAGGTATTGATAAAGATGACGGGAATTTAGTTTTTAAACTGTATCGCAAATCGTCGGACAAGAGTTGTTGAAATGCCGGATTATTTTGCTGCTGAAAAAAAATTTGATTTCTTCACGTAGGACGACTAATCGTGTCAGTATTTTGCCCCTCGAAAGCCATCTCACCTCAGCGGGAAGAAGAAGGTGAGTATACTGGGAACCCATTTTGCCAAGTACTACACCGAGTAATAACGTCTGATAATACTTGGTGTATAAATAATATGACATTTGGTCTTGGGGACATTTTTTTCACCACAAGATGC